TCAAATCAGATGACTCTACACAAAGTTGTGCAACTACCCCCTAGGACAAAGTGCCCAGCAACTTTCTCCCTCCATGGTGTGATACACTTTCTGCGAAATGATCTTTAACTCAATGACTCATGGCTGGGTCCTCCAACCACAGAAAAATTACTGCCGAAATGCTTGCGTTGGATCACACAGATATTCATAAGCTCCCACATTCATATATCACCTGCTCTTCCATTTTTAATTAATAAAAGCAACATTTAATCAGTTAAAATACATTTGTCTTGTCCTCCTATGCTTATATTCTTATGTCGTTAAAAGTTCTACTTAGCCTCACTCAAATTCCCAGTTAAGATAAATAGGAAACGCTTACCCACTAATCTAATCAGCTGACTATTAGCAAATCTGACTACTAATAATAAAACCTTACATTTACTAATGTACCTAAGTTTTGAAAGGTAAATGAGAAAAATATCACCAATCAACTGTCATTTTTTGTGACTTTGCGCTTGATTTTCCCAGAATTCAGTAAATTCACTTTAAAGCCATGGATTGAACTCTTTCATGATGTCTCCTGACGTGATAGTTTCATGGTCTTTTACTAATTATCTTTATAAGATAGCTACTTAAATGGTCAGCACCTCCTCCCTGACAGTATCAAATTCCCTCACCTGCCAACTTCTCAAATTCACACACTGTGCCTAGCCACAGGCAATGATGAGCTGCTCTCTTCATACCTGGTTACTTTGTGTGCTTAGCAAAACCGCCCGTATTTATATGAGTTGAAATACTACAAAGATGAGTGAGCACAGTTGGCAAGATAAAGTACTTCAAACTAGCTTCCTAGTTAACTAAACCTTAGCTGCCTCTCCAGCTTCTTCATATCTGATTAAGAATGAAAGATACTTAACTTTAGCAAGAAATTCGAGCGGTGGACTGACAACAGACATTCGCTAAAGTCTGCCCACAGAAATGTGGGTGGACAGGTTGAGAGCCAGAGTGTTTCTTATGGAGACAATTGAAGGAAGGAAAGAAATTAGAAGCAAAATTGATGCAAATTTCTATTTTGCGTAAGAGCTAGAAGTGATACCAAAATAGTTATAAATGTGCTCACAGAGTGAACCCACAGGAGTGGACTGGACTGAAGTGAATATTTCACTTATCTCATGAAAAAGCAAGCATAACTAGGACATGTATAGGTTCTCACTTGGAAACAAAACAAGTCAAAGAAGTAGATCAATATAAGCACAGGTTCAGCCAGGTAAAGTTGGGTGGTGGTGGATGGAATCTGACTGGGCAACCAAACAAGGAAGATGTGAAAGTCCTATGGGCCATCTTGACAGAGGATAAGAGTGTAGACAATCTGGATGTCCATCATGGAAATGTATGTAATTAACTTTGCAGCAAGAGAAATTTAGATAATATAACAAATTCTCTATGGTCATTTATCAGCCACTTCCCATCAATGGAGGTAGCAATAGAACCAAACAGGCAAGAGGGCGCCACGAGGAGCATTCTGCCTGTGCTAACTCTGACAGAGCTTTGCAAATGATCCATCTCCCCAGCTCTCACCCATCATGTGTATCATTTCCCTTTCGAAAGCAACAACTGCAGCTGCTTCCACTGCCCATTCAATAGGGACAATTTTATTACACTTATGCAGAAGACATTTTCAGCTGACATTTTAACTTGTTCTTTAACTTTGTCTCTGATTCACACAGCACAAAAACTATTTTGAGTGAAAAGAAAATTGCCAGCCATTTGAATATAGTTTCAGAACAGGTTGTGAATGTCTCTTTTTTTCTCACGCTCACTCTCAGCAAATATAGTGATTGTGGCCTATTTTGCCTGTTAAGAATATTAAAAAGAGCACATCCTTTGATAGTGCTTTAAAACCTGGTCATTTGAATAAGAGCAACAAATCTAATCCAGTAAATCAACATTCTAATGTAGGCAAGAAGAAAAAAAAAATCAAAGAACTATGGATGCTGGAAATCAGAAACAAAAACTGAAATTGCTGGAAAAACTCAGCAGGTCTGGCAGTATCTGTGGAGAGAAATCAGAGTTAACATTTTGGATTCAGTGACCCTTCTTCAGGATTTGTTCAGTCACTGGACCTGAAATGTTAACTCTGCTTTCTGTCCACAGTACCTGCCAGACCTCGTGAGTTTTTCCAGCAATTTCTGTTTTTAATTCTAAGTTAGCTTCTTGATGTCAACTGTCCCTGACCTTTACCAGTCTAGGGAGCAGGTTAGTTCCTCTCTTCATCTGCCATTGTCACTATCAGATTATGAGAGCCATGGGAGTCTGTAGAGCAGTCTAAAGTGCCAGCTTCCTTGTTTATGGGAATTGCTATCTGCTGCTCAATGTCTTCCCGACAGCATAAAGCCTCACAGATGCAACTTGACGAGAGCTTTTTTGCATACATGGATAATTGCCCAACTTGTGCTTACAATGGGTAAATACAACAAAAATGTATGACACTTAGAAAATGTAAACAGCAAATTAGTAAATAAACACAGCTGCTTAACTGTTTGCAGTATCTCTGCATTGGTCCCTGTGGAACATATTGTATTGAGTGCATTACAATCAGTGTCATTTTCATTGAGTCCATTTGCAGTCTATATGCACAAAACTCACTCAAGTGGCAGGTAATTGGGTCTCATTCCTTTTTTTCACAGCTGTGATCCCACTCCAACTCTGACCTTGGCCCCTTAAGAATGTTCAAATAAAACTCAACAGAAGCTCAAAGAATAGAACCTCATCTTTCAAAAAGGCATTATACAGCCTTCAAGCTTCATTATTGATTTTGATCATTCCAGATTATCCCCATGCTCCGATTTTTTCCAGACAGCAGTACTGGTTATGATCTTGCTGTAGCCATTTAAAGGTCCACTGGATTTTATTTCATTTATACCGGTCCCATTACCACCTCCTTTTGCCTTGTACCATCATACCTTTTACAATTTAACAACTCCTGTCCTCCACTAATCTCTTCCACTTTTGTTCTTTGTCTCATTTTCCCTGGCTCTGCACTTCTTCTTAATGTTAAATCTCTACCTTCTTCCTGCTCAATTGAACTGGCAACTACCTGAAATTATAGTGTTGCTTCGCGGTTTACACATATTCTGTTTTTATTTGAACCTGTTGAATGACTTCATCATTTAGTGATCTATGCAGAGTGTGTATTGCCTGATGCTCACAATGCAGTACTAAAGGACTGTGACACCATTGTGATGCCATCTTGCAGATTGAGATGTTAAACCAAGGCCCTATCTACTGTTTCAGGTGGACACAAAAGATTCTGTGGCACAATTTTGAAGACGAGCAGAAGTTTGTTTCCTGGTGATAGTCTATTAGGACCTAGGCTCCGCTAGTCTCATCTTATAGCTCTCAGACTTCATCCTTCCTCAAGACATTCCTTAAAACTTCACTCTTTGAGATTTTAACCACCTCATCCAATTTCTCCTTACATGCCTCAAAATGCTCCAATGAAGCATCTTGAGATGTTTAATCACATCAGGCGTTCTCTATAAATTGCTGAGTTGGACAAAAGAAAAGTAACAATCTTACCTCCTGCTCAATTGGTGTGATTGCTTTTACACAGTTGACCAGACTATCTTCTTCCAATACCTCTCTTGCCTGCCTGGACGGGCATCCATACTCTTGGTTTCATTCTTATTTATCTAATTGTATTCACAATGCCAATTGCAATGGCTTCTCTTCCCAAATTCACACCATTACCTCTGGTGTTCCCAAGGACCTACGCTGGTCCCCTCCTATTTCTCATCGACATGGTGTTCCTGTGACATCATTCAAAACAAACAATACTGCATTTCGCATGTACACTAACAATACCCAGCTCTACTTCACCAGGCCCCTCCTCAATATGCTCTTATCACAAAATTGTCAGACTGCCTGTCTAGCATCCAGCACTGGAGGAGCAGAAAGTTTCTCAAATTAAACAATGGGGAGAAACTGATGCTGCTGATCTCAGTCCCTGCTACAAACTCACTTGCCTAGCTCCTGATCTCATCTCTCTCCCTTGCAAGTGTCTGAGACTAAACCAGACCATTCGCAAACTTGTTGCTATATTGACCCTGAGAGAGGCTTGCCAGCCACATTATCACTAAGAGAGGCTATTGCTTACTCCATAACATTGTCCAACTCTATTCCTGTCCCAGCTCAGCTGCTGCTAAAACCCTCATCTTGCCTTTCTGACAGATAGTTATCATTTTCACTGTCTACCTGAACACATGCATCATGTCTCTCTTGCCAACAATCCCGCCAGTGTGGAGCTGGAGGAACACAGCAGGCCAGGCAGCATCAGAGGAGCAGGAAAGTTGACGTTTCGGGTCAGGACCCTTCTTCAGAAATGGGGGAGGGGAAGGCAGCTCAGAAATAAAGAGAGAAAAGAGGGGTGGGGCTGGGAAAGATAGGTGGGCCGTTTTATTCTTGTATTTAAATACCTCCATGGTCTTGACTTCCTCTATCGTTATCATCACCTCCGGCCCCTGAACCTTCTAAGATATTGGCTCTCCTCTCATTCTGGCCTCTTCACCATCCCCTATATTATTTGCTGCACTATCACTGTGCCTTCGCAGTCATACACCTGTGGACATGACACTACCCACAGAGAAAGCCATCAAATGAGCCAACTGAGAGCTCCTCTTGATGCCATTGTAGGTAAGTGTAGACCTAGGAATGGCCAGATTGAGAAAAAATGGGAATTCAAGATTCAGGAAAGTATACTCCAATTTCACAGCATGCACTTTCAGTGATCTTTGTGTTTTCTTCTGGCACAGCGCTGTCCTCAGTTATGCCTTCTACAAAATTCTCAACACGTATACTGAGTCAGTGTGGATCAGCATTAAATTTGTCCATGAGGTTAACGTGCATGCACCATGCATAACATACACACAGGAGCACCTGCACACATATATTGCATGAGTGTTTGACCCATTTATCCCAGAAGCAAATACTTATCTATTATTTCTGAAATACCAAAAACAAACTTTTATCTCAGATGCCAATTTAATTAAAAATGGCTATTATTTGCTCAAATGTGTTTCAACAAAGGTTTACAAAATTTAAAACTGCAGCTCTTTTCTTAAAATCAGAAGATTTCTTCAATTATCAGATATCAGGAGTCCAAACGAAACAACATTTCCCACAGATTTTGGTACGTTCACTCGAAGAGTCACATCCTTCACTTGCGAGGCTGGTGGATGGAATGATTGATCTGGTGTGAAATCGGCAGCTTTTCCACTGATGGGCACGGCTTCTGGTGGGCAACCTGGGCAGCAGCTGGGGGAAAGTCCTTATCCCCCTGTGGCAGGGATGAAAACAGCACAATTAGTCTGTATTGAACGATGTAAGACAAACAATCATGGAGAAGCACAGCAAGTCTGATAGCACCTGTGGAGTGAATTAACGTTTTGAGTCCAATATCCCAAATGAAGAGATGTGCAGGACTCCAAACATCAACTGCTTCTCTCTGCACAGACATTGCCAGACATATTCTGTTTCTCTAGCACTTTCTGTTTTTATTTCAGATTTCCATCGCCTGCAATAATTTGCTTTCTTAAAAAAAAAATCCTATCTAATTTAGGGAGAAAGATGAACTTCATAAAGCATCTTTCATAACCTTCAGTGATTCCAATGAATTTTACAGAAAATGAAACATGTTTTTGAAATGTAGTCACTGCTGTAATGAGAACTGGCAGCCAACCTGTGTTCAGAACTGTTGTAATGACCATATGATTCTTTTTCTTTAAGTGATATTGGTTCAGGGACAAATCTTGGTCAGGACAGTAGGGAAAGCTCACCTACTCTATTTGAAATAGTTCATGGGACTTGTTGACTTCTATAGATATTTTCCAATTAACTTATTCAGAGATGTTACTACACATTTCTGGAGTACGTGGGACTTGAACGTGGGCTTCCTAGCCTAGCGGTAGGGACAGTAACACTGCATCACAAGAGCTCTTTCTTTTGACTTCTTTGTGAGAAGGTTAATTGGTTCTCGGTTTCACAACAAAAGCTAAAGGTATGAGCGTCAGTTTTCAGGAATGAAGCCTGTTTTGTCTTTCAGTTAGATCATGGTTACTCGGATTCTTAATTCAATCTGTGCATCTTTGGTCAAGACCCCTTAATATCCAATCTCAACGAAAAGCCATCAATCTCAGTTTTGAAATTTCCAATCAGGGTTATCTTCAGTGCCTATTCAGGCTGGAAGGAGCTTCAGATTTCCACTACTCTCTGTGCAAAGAATTGCTTTCTGATGTCATCACTTAACAGTTCAGTGTAGGTTATCCCCTTTGTTTTAGATTCTTCTACCAAAGGGAGCAGTTTATCTCCATTAACCCCATCAAAAACATCAACCTCCATCAATGCATCACTTTATTGGCCCTGCACTGGACTGCCTGTTTGAATTATACACTGAATTCTGGTGGAGGCCTTGAATCTACAACCTTCTGAATCAGAAGAGACAAAAGATCAACCAACTTAACCATGGTTAATGAGTTTCTCCACACAAGAAGACAGCTTACTGGGTACTGGTTTGTAGAAGGCATGGATGTCTCGGTTCAGCAAAAGTTCTCTGTTTACATTACAATAGTGACAACACTTCAAAACTTTAATTCACTGGCTGAAATGCATCTAATGAAACATTACAAAAAATGCAAGTTCCCCTTTTTAAAAAAATCTTCCCATTACATGTCAGTTAAGCCCCCTCATCTTTCCTTAGCTAAATTAATTCATTTTTACAATAGGTAATTTCCCAAATATGAGTGCGACAGCAACCATGCAATGCTGATACTCAAAGTGGTCCATAAATCCATTTGCGAGGGTTAATGGAGAAGAGAATTGACTGAAGGGGTTTCCTGCTGTAAGTTGTTTCTGACAGATTTTCCCTAGGCTTCCCATCAACGTCAAAGTGACAGATGCAAAAATCCCCATTCAGAATGAACTGGCAAACAATTCCAGGTTGCTATTTTCAAATGAGTGGTAGATAAATAACGCAATCTGAACAGTAGATATATAATAATGTCAGGTGACATATTTTACAGGTAACATCTCGCGGCAAAAATTCAGTACTGCTGTATGAAAACAGGCACAAACTTGGAAAATACCCACTCGACACCTAAATATTTTAAACCCTAAAGGATTGGTTCAGAGTGCCCATCTACTTATATCCTTCCCACCAGTAGAGACAAATTTCTCAAATGGAAGCTGGTGAGAATGTTTAATCTGGAATGCCACAGAGCCGCCTTTTAGACCAGAGGACCAACCTCCCCAAGTTTCTCCCTGATTCTAGTTTCTTTCAGAGTTTGTCTTGTGTATGAAACCCACTTGCCCCTCCTCTGATCCTATACTCAACAAACTGTTGACCATCAAACTTACCATCCTCACCTCAGTGTTATCCGTTCCCTCTCTTGAGGGGGTATAGCCCCTGGTCTTGTTTGAATCAGCCCTCTCAAACAAAATACCACATGCAACTCCTGTCCTTTCAGTTTTACACATGCAACTCCTCTGTCCTTGCAAACTGTAACCCAGCTCCAACCTCTCTGACCTCTCCAAAGTCCTTGAACTCAGTTTCTGCCCTGCTACTACACTAAAATAGCCCTATTTAAATACGCAAATTATACATTCTGCAACTATAACATGATAAAATCTCATCATTGGCCTTGGTCTGTCTGGCACCTTCGGCATCAGTGAACACATTCTTCTCTTCTTCAAACATCTCTCCATCACTGGCCAGCTGCATGGATCACTCATCTGATTCCATATATCCAGTTGTGGTCAAAGAATTACCTGCAATGGCTCTCTTCCCACTCTTCCACTGTTATCATCCAAGTATTTACCCATAACACTTCCAATTTCTCATCTGGATGCTGTCTTTGGCAACATCATCTGAAAATCCATCAGGTTCTACAGGTATACTTCCAGCTCTACCTTACCACAACTTTCCCACTGTTTACCAATTTGACATGCCTAATCCTAGCCCTATGGCATGTCAGTTATCCAGTATCGGATGAGCAGAAATTCCTTTCAGCTATTTAGGAATCAGTCCCCATCACAAACTCCGTTCACTAACCACCTAGTCACACCTTCTCCACAGAAAAGGTCTGAGACTAAAACTGGGCATTTTTCAGTGTTGGCTTTCTAACTGACTGAGATGACTTCTATCTATGTATCCACTTAATCATCAAGCCACGCCAGTAACAGTGCTCTGTGCCTGTCTCAGCTCACCTGCTGTGTTGTTTTTATTACATCTAAATTGGACCATTATATTACTCTCCTGCCTGGCCTCCCATTTTCCACCTTACAAAAGCTTAAGCTCATTCAAAGCTTGCAGCCAAATCTTGTTTATTCATCATCCATAAACTGGAATTAGGTTCCTGTGGGGTCTTCCTTAAGCAGAAAAGAAAATTACAGTACTTTAAATGAGTAACTTCCTACATTGGCAAATTAAAAAAAAATACTTGTACAGGCATTTTGAAATCTATTTTAAAAGAAGGATGTAATATTCTACTCAACAACAGATGCACCAACTGAGGAGCTGGAAGCTTGCAGGGGAGAGGGCAGCTCTGTGGCCGGGTGGGGCTGCCACTCATTGGACAACGGGCTCCCAGCTGCCTCCTAGGGCCATCACTTACTTCTGGCTCAAAAACAAAATTGCTGGAAAAGCTCAGCAGGTCTGGCAGCATCTGTGGAGGAGAAAACAGAGTTAACGTTTCGGGTCCGGTGACCCTTCCTCAGTACTGA